AGGGGCCGGGGCCCCGCTCACCCCCAGGGCCACCTGGGAGCTGTGGCCCTGCCCTGATGACACAGGAGCAGGGTCCTGGCTCCCTTCCTCCTCAGGGAGCCTCGGGAGCTATTCTGCACACACCGCAGGGTCTGGGGGGGGGGGCGTGACCCGGGCCCCTGGGCTCCTCACCGCCTGCGCTGCCCCCTTTGTCTCTGGGGTCTCCAGGTGACAGATGGCTCCTTGGTGGCACTGGTGCCCAAACAAGTGTCCGCCTATAACATGGCCAACTCCTTCACCTTCACCCGCTCCCTCAGCCGCTACGGTAGGTGTCCTGTGTGGGGGCCTCCATGTGCCCTATGAGGCTGTGACCGCGGTCACGGGGAGCCCCTGTCGGAGCAGCCAGCTTGCTCTGGTGGCCTCCCTGGGCTTTGGCCTTAGAAGGTCTCCAGTTAGTAGTGGGTGGGCCGGCAAGAGCATACAGGTCCCCTCAGCCTGCTGGGCCCCCAGGACAGAGTGCGGCAAGCGCCCCCGTGGTGGCTGGTGGGGCCCCGCTGCCTAAAGGGCCAACTGGTCCTCTGCCCCAGAGAGCCTGCTTCGCACGGCCAGCAGCCCCGACAGCCTCCGCTCTCGGGCGCCCATGATCACGCCTGACCAGGAGACGGGCACCAAGCTGTGGCACCTGGTGAAGAACCACGACCACGCTGACCACCGCGAGGGGGACCGTGGCAGCAAGATGGTCTCCGAGATCTACCTGACGCGGCTACTGGCCACCAAGGTGCGGGCCGGCCCCGTGCCGCCTTCTCACTGCCAAGCCTCTGTCCCCCTCTGTCCCCCTCTGTCCCGCTGCGGGGACATCCCGACCCGGCTCCCTCACGGCCTGTATGTTTGCTGTCCCCCGCAGGGCACGCTGCAGAAGTTCGTGGACGACCTCTTTGAGACGGTGTTCAGCACGGCGCACCGGGGCTCGGCCCTGCCCCTGGCCATCAAGTACATGTTCGACTTCCTCGATGAGCAGGCCGACCAGCGCCAGATCAGTGACCCTGACGTACGCCACACCTGGAAGAGCAACTGGTACTGCCCTGCGCCCTCCTGCTGCCGGCCCCTCTAGGGGTGGATGGTCAGAAGAGGCTGCTGGCTTTGCCAAAACTCAGGGACCACAGAGTTAGTTGGGGCAACTTATGGGAGCTGGACTGGCTGTCCAGGCAGGAGAGGACCAGCATTCAAGGTGGCAGCAAGCAAAGAGGGCGAGTGAGCGCCATTCGGAGGTGGGCTCTGTAGGGCATTTGCCTGGGGTTAGTGGGGCCAGTACCCTGCAGTGGTCCTTAGCCCTTAGGACCTTGCGTGGGGCACAGATGCTGGTAGCTCGGCTCATGTGGTAGCTCTTTTTTTAAGAAATAGATATATTTCTTAATTTTTTAAAATATATATTTTTTATTGATTTCAGAGAGGAAGGGAGAGGGGAGAGAGAGATAGAAACATCAATGATGAGAGAGAATCATTGATTGGCTGCCTCCTGCACAACCCTCACTGGGGATCGAGCCCGCAACCCAGGCATGTGCCCTGACCAGGAATCAAACCCAGGACCCTTCAGTCCGCAGGCCGATGCTCTATCCACTGAGCCAAACCAGCCAGGGCAAGAAATATATTTTTATTGATTTCAGAGAGGAAAGCAAAGGGAGAGCGAGATAGAAACATCAATGATGAGAGAGAATCATTGATCAGCCGCCTCCTGCACGCCCCCTACTGGGGATCAAACCCGCAACCTGGGCATATGCGCTGACCTGGAATCGATCCATGACCTCCAGGTTCATAGGTTGACACTCAACCACTGAGCCACGCCTGCCAGCCCCCATGTGGTAACTTCTTTTTTAAAAAAATATATTTTTATTGATTTCAGAGAGGAAGGGAGAGGGAGAGAGAGATAGAAACATCAATGATGAGAGAGAATCATTGATTGGCTGCCTTCTGCATGCCCCACACTGGGGATCGAGCCTGCAACCCAGGCATGTGCCCTTGACTGGAATCGAACCCGGGACCCTTCAGTCCGCAGGCCAATGCTCTATCCACTAAGCCAAACCGGCCAGGGCCATGTGGTAACTCTTTATGTCTCTGGCAGAAACTTAAAGAAAAGGCTGTTAACCCTAAACATGTCACTCTTGCTGCTCTGGGCAAGACGTGGGCTGGCCAGCCAGGAACCATGGAAGGGAAGGGCTCTGGGAGGGTGCTTCTGGGAGACGAGGGAGCTGCGGGTGTGTGTCCGTCCATGCAGCCTGCCCCTGCGCTTCTGGGTGAATGTGATCAAGAATCCGCAGTTTGTGTTCGACATCCACAAGAGCAGCATCACGGACGCCTGCTTGTCGGTGGTGGCCCAGACCTTCATGGACTCCTGCTCCACGTCCGAGCACCGCCTGGGCAAGGACTCACCCTCCAATAAGCTGCTCTATGCCAAGGACATCCCGAACTACAAGAGTTGGGTGGAGAGGTGGGCCCTGCCCTGTGGCCCCAGGTTGTTGGGGGGGGTGGGTGGAACCAGGCAGTCCCAGCGGAGCTGCCGTGGGTGGAGGGGGGCAGGAGCTGCCCCTCTGTGGGCTGGCTTCTCTGAGGTGGGCCAACTATAGGACAAAGGCCCAGAGGCTGGCCTGGCAGCCAGGGCAGGGACTTGGACTTTTGTGCCACCTGCCCATGTGTGTGACCTCAGGGTCCCAACAGGTACTACCGGGACATTGCCAAGATGGCATCCATCAGTGACCAGGACATGGACGCCTACCTGGTGGAGCAGTCCCGCCTCCATGCCAGCGACTTCAGTGTCCTAAGCGCGCTCAGTGAGCTCTACTTCTATGTCACCAAGTACCACCAGGAGGTGTGTGCTGCTCCCAGAGTGACAAAGCAGGGGTCTTGGTGGGAGTCGAGGAATGCCACAGGATGTGGAGGGGACAGATGGGATAGGGAGCCCATCTCTTATTTATTTATTTTAATATATTTGTATTGATTTCAGACAGGAAGGGAGAGGGAGAAATAGAAACTTCAAAGATGAGAGAGAATCACTGATCGGCTGCCTCCTGCACGCCCCCCACTGGGGATGGAGCCTGCAACCCAGGCATGTGCCCCGACCAGGAATCGAACCCAGGACCTCCTGGTTCATAGGTGGATGCTCAACCACTGAGCCACACCGGCCAGGCAGGAGCCCATCTGTTAGATTGCTCATGATCACTCCCCCAAGCAGGCCGCTAGGCCAGCACACATGACACTCGCCTCGATGCTGGGATTTAAAGGACCCAGAAGAGAAGCCACTGGCTAGAGTACACAGTTCTGGTTGGGCAAGAGTTGAGGGCCAGGGGCATTGGGAGGGACAGGCTGAGGGGGGTGGGGCCAGAAGGTGGGCATGGACAGTCCTTTCTAGGGCTTGTGGGATTTGTGACTGGAGGTGGCAGGAGGCAAGGGGCATAGAGGTGTGGACCTCAGGATGTATTGTTGGCTGAAGATACGGATTTGTGAGCCAGGACATGGCCCTGAAGGCCCTGAGCCTGGATGAGCTCAGCCAGGGCGGCCGGGAGTGGGTGCAGAGGGACCGGTGGCCCGAGCACTGAGCCCTGGGGCCCTGGGACACTCAGAGGTGGCAGAGAAGGAAGGGAGCCAGTAGTGGAGACAGAAGAGGGGGTGGCCAGCAGGTGGGACGGACCCCAAGAGTAGAGAGCTGATCCTGGAACATGTGTGAGGAACCCTGGCCCCGTGGAGGAGGGTCAGGGAGGAGAGAGCGCTCAGCTGTCAGGTGCTGCTGATGGTCAAGGAGCCTGAGAACGCTGGCTGGGTTTGGTGACAAGATGGTGGAGACCTGGACAAGAGAGGTTTTTTCGGGGTGGGGGGAGGAATTGGGAGGGGATGAGAAAGGGAGATCGGGGACGGTGAGTCCAGACCACTCGTGGGAGGGCCGCATTCTGGCTGTGGAGAGAGAAGAGGAGGAAGTTCTGCAGCTGGAGGCGGATCTGGGGTGGAGGAGGCTGGAGGTGTGTTCAGAGGTGAGAGATTGGAGCCTTTCCCAGGCGCCTAGGGCCCTGAGGGCCGCAGGGGAGGAGGGATGCAGCCGCTGAGGCTGGAGAGAGGGAAGAACTCAAGACCTCCGGGGCAGCGGCTTTGCCTGGGAGGAAACCACCTCCCACTGCGAACCCAGCCCCTGGCCTCCCTCCCTCCCGCAGGTTCTCACCGCCCTGGACAGAGACGCCTCGTGTCGGAAGCATAAGCTGCGCCAGAAGCTGGAGCAGATCATCAGCCTCATGTCCAGCAACAGCTAAGGGTGGCGAAGCCGGTGAGGAGGGGGCTTCCCGGTCCTGGGTCGTCGTCCTGTCGAGAGGGGGGGCTCACGCCTGGGGCTCAGGGCTGAGCCCGGGATTGGGTGGCGCAGGCCAGGTCAGCGGGCCAATATGCCCCCGAACCCCCTTCATTAGTGCCTTGCTTTGGGCCCTGCAGGCGGGGAGGGGGTGACAGGACCTAGCCCCCCACCCCAGCAGCAGCAATACCCCCAGCCTCCTGCCCTTGTGCCCAGGTGTGTGACAGCCCCTGCCCCCCTTACTATTTATACCCCCAACCACCTATTTATTTAATTTATCTCTGCCTCACTGCCTCCATCTGTAAATACCGCCCCCCCGCCCCGCCCCCCCGGGATGTTGCCACCCTCATTCTCTTCCTTGAGTTGTCCTGATCCTGTGACACCATCAGCCTTGGCACCTCGCCCTCGCCATGGCCTCGGCACCAGCAGCGCTTGGGGTGATGCACCCTAAGCTGCCCTCGGACTGTGGCTGTGCCAAGGGGTCCCCTGCAGCGGGACCACAGCGTCCCCCTCCAAACCTCTTGGGACTTGGACTGCGCATCCTCAAGGGGCCCCGTTCTCTCCAAGCACCTGAGAGCTGTAACTAGACGTTCATTCCGGGGCCTGACCTGGGCCTGGGCTCCAGAACTTTCTCCCGGCCCTACTGCCAAACCTCCTTCAGTGTTGTCTGACTTGCCTTTGGACCCTCATCCTCAGCTGCCCTGTCCTGCGCCCGCCCCGAGGGGCCGAGGCGGCAGTGCCTTACTCCTTTGTGTTTCTGCCTCTTTCGAGGAATCTGGCCCCATCTCGAGGTCCCGGAAACCCCACTCTCTCCTCTTTTGTTGCATGAGTTTTCCTTTGTTCATGTACATTTTTTCCTAATTAAACATTGGGAAAATGGAGTCTGTGTGGCTTTTCTCTTGGGGCAGGTGGGTGGTTGGGGAACATGGGGAGCAGGCGGGGCACACGGGGAGCAGGCGGGGCACAGGGAGAGGGCGGGGCACATGGGGAGCAGGCAGGGCACACAGGGAGCAGGCGGGGGATTGTGGACCCCTTTGTGGGAGGAGGGTAATGCATTGCAGGGTTCCTGGGGATTTGAGGAGGTCAGGGCCATCCATATCCAGCTCATCAGCAAGTGCTGGTGTCTCTACCTTCAAGATCCATTCAGAATCTGCTCCCTTCCTTCCACCTCTACTGCCCCCAGCCTGGTCTAAGCACCCTGTCTCTGGCTGCCCGTCTATCCCTGTGCCTGCCTTGCCCGCCCTCGGCCTATTCTCAAGCTGGGAGGCATTGGCGTCCTGTTAAGATACAAGGTGGATCTTGTCCCGCTCTGTTCAGAACCCTTCAGTGGCTTCATTGCACTTAAACTCCTTCATATCCGACAATTCCTTACTGTCCCAGTTGTATCTCCTTCACGATACGCCTACCTACCTCTTATCCCCCCGCCACACACACCTGTTACAGTGATGCAGGTGCAGAGAAAGTGGGATGCAATTTTATTTTTAAAAATTTACATATATATATAAAATTGATTTCAGAGAGGAAGGAAGAGGGACAGAGAGATAGAAACATCCATGATGAGAATCATTGATCAGCTGCCTCCTGCAAGTCCCCCACTGGTGATCGAGCCCACAACCCAGGCGTGTGCCCTTGACCGGAATCGAACCTGGGACCTTTCAGTTTGCAGGCCGATGCTCCATCCACTGAGCCAAACCGGCCAGGGCAGGATGCAATTTTAAATAGAGCAGCAGGGTCTGGCCAGCGTGGCTCAGTGGTTGAGCGTTGACCTATGAACCAGGAGATCACGGTTTGATTCCCGGTCAGGGCATGTGCCTGGGTTGTGGGCTCAATCCCAAGTGGGGGGCATGCAAGAGGCAGCTGATGGATGACTCTCTCATCATCAATGTTTCTATTTCTCTCTCCCCCCTTCCTCTCTAAAATCAATAAAAATGTATATATTTTTTAAATCACCATTGTGAAATTGCAGAAACTAAGCCAATGAGGTGATTTTTAACCTCAGGGGAAAAAGAAACCCCAAGAAGTGAACAAAATCATTTGGGGAAAAGGTAGAGGAGATAGTGGTGTAAAAGAGCTAAATTCTCATCTGTCCATAAATAGTTAAGGTCTTAAAAATGAAGAAGAAGAAGAAAGAAGAAGAAG